TCTATTATACTATTCGATATTTTACATTTAAAATTATTTCCTAATCCATTGTTACTTTTGTACAACACAGCTCACTGCGATTTGCTGTATAGAATAATAAGACATTATTTTTGTAAATGTTCTAGCATGTATTGTATTAAAGAAACTGGTAGTTATACGTTGCATGATGCGAAACATCTTATCCCTTTTTTAGTATCGTAACCATGATCTGAAACATATATATATGCTGAAACGAGTTGACTGGTACATGGCAATGTCCACCTACATAAACAAACTGAATTTTAAGAAAAATACGATTTCAAAAGGATAAAAAAAGACAAAAATCACTTTTTACGCATCTTGTTTTGATATTTTCAAATGAAAAATCGGTCTTTTTATTTGAACTACACAAAGGTTCTATAAAATAACAAGAATATACCATCATGTTTCTCATAACAGGTGACAAATTCACTATAAAGCTTTTTAATCAGTTGCTAACCATGAAAGTGAGGTCAAAGAAAATGGACATACGACTGACGAAAACTCCTTTTCGTAAGGCATCTAGTTACACAAAATGAAGCATCGATGTATTCTACTTTTTGAAATATAAAGCTTTTTGCAAATAGTTAACGCCACCGCCACCGGATAAGCATATATCCATGTCTCGATTTATGCAACTTTCGTGGCAGGCCAGACAAAAATACATATCAAGTTGTGTTTCGCGAGTTTTTTATGCAGGTTATCCATAATCTGTGATTCCTTATAGTAAATGAAGAAATCTGCAATGAAAGGCGCAATCTGTCCCCATTTGAATACCAATCACTTGGCGGTATATATGATATCTAAAACGAACATAAAGGTTTGTGGTGGATAGTTGTCTCGTTGTCTCGTTGTCATCTTTTCTTATTTTTTCACATATATCTGCCAGCAAATTTAAGTTAATTTTAAATTTGTCACTATTACATGTGAGTCCAATTAGTGTTTTATTTGTGTAATTTTTGTTACCGAAATAGGAATTGTAACGACTGCACCAGATATAATTTCCTTCCATTTTATCGAATGACTATTTTATCAAATAGTAAACTTTCTGTTTGATAAGGTTATGTAGGAGTGTAGTATGCAGAATAGAGAAATAATAACTCTGAACGAAGACAAAGGAGCGAAACTCTAGAAATTATTACTAACACCACTATTACCATAAGATTTATCACACTATTTGACAATGTGTTCCTTAACGACTGTAAGTGAACAAGTCAAAACTTCAAAGACATATGTAGTTGAACATTTCCTACATGCATAATCTATAGTGTAATTTCGAAAGTCAACATATAGCAGGAACCGTGTGGCATTCATAATCAACCTTACGTTTATTCGTTGTTCAAGCGTGTTCATCTATGAGATGCATTTTCTTTTAACATGTAAAGCTTTGGTTAATGTTAGAAATCCCTATCTTAGCAAAATATTTAGTAAAAATAAAAATATTTCAAAACTTGATAACAAATCTCTGTTTATTTGGTTAATAGGAAATGAAGGTACAAATATTTTGATAATACTTTGTCAATTATTAGAGGTTTTAAATAAAAACAGGAATACAATACTAAATTAGATTACTTTATATAGAGTTATAGATATATATGATCATATATGCATTTACAGTAGTTTCTATTTACATTTAATTAAGGTCTTTCCACTCCGTTAGGAAAGACCTTATTGTTTTTCTTATGTTTTTTTTTCTTTTTTTTCCTTTTTTTCTTCCAACATTTTTTTGACATGCCCTCCCCACGTTTCTATTGGTGTTATCAAGACCAAATATGGACCATCGATAGACCTTATCATGAAGTATTACTAGATGACCCTGTTAAAGATTTCATCATCCCCTTTAGAAGTTATCTCCCTTTTATTGGTTTTTTTCGACATGGCCCCCTCTCGTTGTTTTGAAAGATATCATGACCTCATTTGTACAAAAGGTAGATCTCATCATGATGTATTACCATATGAGGCTGCGTAGGATTGCATCATACCCTCTGAGAGTTATGTCCCCTTAAAGTAATTTCTTTTATTTGCATTTTTCTTAAAAAGTATTAGAGATAAAATCGAATTGAAAATTACAGCATCTACAAGACCAGATGACAATGTTAATAAACATAAACTATTTGTTTGTTATTAACCCTTATAAGGAGTTATTTCCCTTTAAAAATTGTACTTAATTTTTGAAAAATTCTATTTCGAGAACCGGAAGTTGTAGAGACTTGGGACCTTCACCAATAATCTTTAATTCATGTGACCGTCAATTTGCACCCAAGGTCAAAGGTCACTGAGTGCAAAAATAATTTACGCTGCAATTTCAAGCTTACATATTAAGAAAACGATAAGAGTTTGCTGCATACATACTGTGTAAAAAATGTTCCTCTTGACGAGCTCTACATTTTATACATTAAGCTCAAAACTGTCCTACCGTCTGTTCAAACGTTGCAACGAGATAATTCTTAAAAGTATAGTATTGTGTGTATATCTTTTTAAAGGTAACAGATATCAACCTACTATAAATTGCAAAAATGATCAGTATTTTAAGACCTTCAATTTGAGGTCAATGTTAGGTCATGATGAAATTTTACCTTGACCTTCAAAGTGTACTATGACCTTGACCTTGTGATATTTGAAAGGTCAAGTTGTTTTGAGTTGAATGGTGGTAGTCCCATGTCTCTACGACTTTCGGTTCTGAAGTTTGGTATTGCATCATATATTTGATGATTCATTGTGACCTTGATGAACTTTGGAATAGTCCCAAATTTTTTTCTGCAATGTTGCCCTTTAGCTGCAGCTCATTTATCATTTAACAGTTTTGAGATATCTATTGTCGTTTTAGAGATAATGCAGTTTGAAATTTACCGAGCGGAGGCATGTATTTCTGACACCTTTCGACCTGAAATTTTCAGAGATTGAAGAGTCTAACATAGTTATTTGTTTGACTAATTACCAAAAACTTTCAATAAAAAACTAAAAATAAAAATCAATTTGAAATTTTCATCTTTTACATTGACTTTGTAAGTTTCATAAGTTCTATTTATATAATTGATATTGCATCATTTTTGGCTCTTTGCCAAATGCGGTCATTATGTATATCAAATTGAACGTCTAAATGAGCTCTTCTCAAAATGAAAATTTCAAACCCCTTTTTCATCCTAGTGGGAAGGGTGAGGTCATTTAGTGCAAAAAACTAAAACTTCTCAAATGGTTAGGTTGTCGCATATCAAATGAAAGTCCATAAAGCGTACACTTCAAATATCAAATTGACGTCCCCAAAAAATGAGTTGGGTAAGGTCATTGAGTGCAAAACATAAATGTTCTTTTAAAATAAGGTTGTTGTATATCAAATGAAAGGTCATAACGTGTACATTTCATTAATAATTGGTATGCTGTGAGGTGTACTGTCCAATAAAGGGTCCAGAATAACAAACAATGGGTCATATTATATATTTTTATTATTACAAATTACTTATTTCAGTTACTTTGATATTATATATTAATCAATGAAATCAGAATTAATCACTGATGTTATGTACTTTGTTTAACCTATTTTTAATTTTTACTTTTATATTATGTTTGAAATTATATTGTAGTTATTCTGCTCATTTTGGGCGCCGTGATTGGCACATAAAATATTTGTTGTTGTTGTTTGTTGTTCTATGACCTGTTCTCCGATAAGGGAGTTCGCTCATATCCGATTTGTGAGAATTAAGAATTTTAGTAGTACTTACGTAAAACGACGACAAATGGTAGCTTTGACAGCAGTTACAAACACAAAACACTTTCAGACAGTATATAATTTGCCTTTAAGATAGCGTTTTGTAGAACGGTTTTGTATAAAGGTCCTTGCGGTTTAAAACGATTATCAACGAGATTTATGCATTTTTAAGAAATATTCCAATGATTTTATATTATCAGTTTTCTCTCGTCTGCACCAAGATTTTTTGGCATGAAAGAGAGACGCTGATGCCTATTCGACATTTCAACCAGTTAAAGTTAAAGTTTACGGTATTTCGGTCCCTTCTGGATCAAAGCCTCTCGGTCTTGGAAAATTCTATGGTTTCCTTTAACAAAATGACCAAAAGGATCCAATGTATTAATACATGCCATGTTGTTAACATTTATATCATGGGAATATGCAGTTTAGAATATGGAGTTTATTTATCAGGAAAGTTTCTTAACTTTAAAAATCGTCTTTTTTGTTAGTTCATTTCCCTTGTGTACATTTTCCAATGGTTGAACTTTAATAAATGTTATTTTATGATAAATTAAGACTTTTTATTTGGCCTTTTAACATTTTTTGATTCGAGCGTCACTGATGAGTCTTATGAAGACGAAACGCGCGTCAGGCGCAAATACAAAATTTCAATCCTGGTATCTATGATGAGTTTATTTACCTATTTATGCCTTCAAAAGAGGTTCATTTAAGAGTCGATGTGTCATTATCATCTCATAACCCTGCCTCCAGATTTTTTCATCTTTTTAATAGAGCTTGAACAACTAGCTTGTTCTTCTTAAATTACTGATCTAAAGCGATACGGTAGTATAATTATTTCAGAATAGATAAACACAAAAAGGGCCTGTGACGGTGTATTTAATGATACTTCCTGGATATCTTAATGATGATGTTTTTTATAACCATTAACTGAACGATTTTCAGCACAGAAAGTAGGTGTCTTGTAGCATAACACGGATGTGATTTGGATTTTAAATACATTTGTACTAGTAGTGTGCTTTTGTTCATATTTAGATTTTTATTTTGCTATTTTTAAAAGATTCATTTATTAACAGGGCGTAATCAGATGTATGGTGCTTAACGAGTTTTACTACAATTTTCTTGAATGCCAAAAATTAATAAATATCATTCATGCTGATCAGTGGTATAAAAGTAAAAAACCGGAATATTACTAAATATAAAACAGGAACACTGTATATAATAAAGGTAGTTTTTATTTAATCCTTGTAAAATAGATTATTGAAACTTCTTATTACAGATGCGATGTCTTCTACTGGTGTTACATGTGACATTCATGCGTCCACTGAAGCTCTACAGTGGTGCTCTCAGTGTGAACAGGCCCTTTGTGATGACTGCGTACATTACCACAGTCAGGCTAAAGCGTCAAGGAATCATAAAGCAATCCCTGTGTCTGACTTTCGAAAGCTACCAGCGTTTGTCAGATCTCTCAAAAAGACGTGCAATAAGCATGGCGAAAAAACAGATTTCTTCTGCTTAATCCATGAGAATCTATGCTGTCCTTATTGCATTCAAACAATGCATAAGCAATGTGATGGAATAGAAAATTTACAGACACTTACAAAGAATGTTAAAAGTTCTGCTTTCGTGGAAGATCTCGAGACTAATGTTCAAGATATAAAAACTAGTATCGAGGAAATATTAAAAGATCGTACACAAAATATTTTAAACATAGATAAACAAAAAGACAGTTTGTTAAAACAAATTGCCAGAACAAAAAGTGATATCATAAACTATCTGAACATATTGGAAAAGCAGTTAGTTTGCGATTTAACGAAAGTGATTAACAAGGAAAAGTCTCGCTTAGGCAAACTAGTCACCGATCTACAGGAAAGGAATTCTAAAATACATCAAATATATGAGGACCTTAGAAGCATTAAACAGTTTGCAGCTGATATAGATGTTTTCCTTGCAATCAAGGAATTAAACCAAACAGTTCAAACGGAAGAATCCTTTATGTTTGATTTACAAACAGATACAAGTCTTTTCCAAACTGAAATTTTACTTCAGAAATCTGAAGACATAGAAACTTTAGAAAACAATATTAAGACGTTTGGAAAAATCCTAATCATGTCAAAACCACCAAAGAAAAATCTCATGAAAAAGAAAAAACCGCAAGCACAACTTTTTATTTCAAAAGGACACGATGCTTTAACAGAAATTGGACAGAAAACAGATGATGAGAAAATCGTTCAAGGGATTATAGAAGACAGGAACGTGGAAGCCTCTGATAGCGTTAATGTAAACACAACAGAGCAAGAGAAAGAGGACACATTTGATTCGGGACAAGATTCTAATATTGAAATCAGTGTTCCTCGCGGTGAATCATTAAATAACGAATGTATGCCTCGTATTCATCTGAAATGTAACACTTTTCTTGAAATTCAAGAAAGAGGTAAGCAGTTGAACGCATGTAAAATATTACCCGAAGATAAGTTATTATTTCTTCTTAGCAAAAAATTAATCGTCTATGGAACTAATCCAAAGAAAATTCAATATGTTGATTTGACAAGTAAGACCACTGATTTAACGTACATCGGTGGCAATGTTGTGGCAATTACGCTATACCCTGAAAATCAAATATGTCTTGTAGACATTTCTGAAGGCCGAGAAATAGAAAGAATTAAAACCGCTGGACAATGTTTTGGAATTGACCACGCAGATGGTCAGATATACACAAGTTTGCCACATAATAAATGCATTCAAGTTGTAGACTATAAGAGGAATGTCAGTACAGAATGCACACTTGAGACAGTGCATAGTGCTTTTTACATCGTTTTCTCCGAAGGAAGACTTTTTTGTTCAAATCACATGACAAATGTTGTATTCTGTATGCTAACTTCTGGAAGTACATTATGGGAATATCGTAGTGACATATTGTTTGAACCATTTTGTATGTCTTTGGATTCAAAAGGTGACTTATTCGTTGCCTGTAGAAAGAATAGGTCGGTTATCGTCATCTCAGCTGATGGATCCAAGAGCACAGTTTGCTTAAAGAGTATATCAAGATTAAAAGCTCCGAGAGCACTCAACTGGTGTCCAACAACTGATAAGTTTATTGTATGCGATGAGCGTTCTGGAAGAGCTGTTGTTTACACGTATAAATAAATACATGTTTATCCATATTTCACCCCCAAGAAAAACAAAGATTAAAACTTACTTTGGTGGACAAAGCCATATTCTTATTGATGTGTTTGTTTATCTTGGTTATGCCGCGTACATATAAGTGTTCAGAGAAGTTCTCGAACGTATCTGTTATATATATATACAGTATATATAAATTGATAAACCATGTGGTTCAAACTGCTTGTTTGAATAGGAAATAGCATATTTTTGCTCTTATATTAAACAGTTAAAATCTTTCTAACCAAAGGAATGTTGAATAATTTCAGAGAGCACTGATACTGTGTATCTTTAATGTCTAAATGTGTATCATTTCTATTGGTGATGTTTTTTTTCGGTTTTTAAGTTCTATCAGAGTCCTCTTTTTATTTTATGGATTTGTTGAATCTGTCTTATATCCAGACGATCATCTGCTGGCGTTATGTTACCTTCTGGTTCAAATTTAATGTTTGAGATCAATGCAGCTTTCCTCGTCCTGTTGTATATTATTACCGTTTTGTTACTAATTCATTGGAATAACATTTGATTGGAACCAATCACGTGACGTCTGTCTCCTCTGTCGGAAATTTCCTTTTCATTTCAATCTATTTTTACTTTACTTATTAATCGGCTCAAAAGTTTCTTCTTTTGTCTTTAACATCCGTTCATTTTTTCGGATTCGAGTGGTACTCGGTTGTTTCTGCTGAGCGATGACTGTCAATACAACCAATATAAATAAGAAGATGTGGTATGAGTGCCAATGAGACAACTCTCCATCCAAGTCACAATGTATAAAAAGTTAACAATTATAGGTCAAGGTACGGCCTTCAACACGGAGCCTTGGCTCACACCGAACAGCAAACTATAAAGAGCCCCAAAAATGACTAGTGTAAAACAATTCAAACAGGAAAACCAACGGTTTAATCTATATAAAAAACGAGAAACGAGAAACACCTATGAACCACACCAACAAACGACAACCACTGAAATACAGGCTGATGTTTTCAGATCCATGTATGGTTCTTTTGAAGAAAAAACGAGTTAACATCAATTATTTTCGGCTAACACACACCATTTGAAAATTACTCAAGTTAAATCCTGCGTTTGTAACATACCAGTATTAAAGAAAGCAAAATCTGTTACGACTTTGAAAAGCACTGAAAACCAAAAATTCCAAAAAGGTTGTGCCATGTTTGGCTAATTACATCTATGGTGGGTTTTTCGAATCCTAGTGTCATCTAATGAGCAACAAATTAACCAAAAATGACCGAATCAATGTTATTGCGATGTGCTGACTTCAATGTACTGACACTTCTAATTTAAGGTGGTGACATCCTCGGTAGCGAAACGTGATAACAATGGCATAATCTGGACATTTCATTGAATAAATGTCAGATGTGATGTCAATGAGATCATATTTGCATATTCGACCTAATCTTTATTAAAAAAGAAAAAAATATCTTTTTGGGTAGGGCAGTGGTTCATGTTCATATCATAATGCTAATGATGTGACCATTTTTGTATGTTTTGTATTTAATGAAAGATGTTTGAAGGCTAAGGTTCCTTTACCTCAGGAAAAATTAACCGTAGATGTATTTTACTATTCTTTTAAGTTCCTTGCTTTGAGCGTTCTTGATGATTGTAAATTCGGAAAAGCGCCTCGGATGCAACTAATTTATAAAGCGTTATTTTCAATAAGAAATGAGTGTTATAGGATGCTGTTATGAAGTCTCCAAAACAGTTCCCGTAAGTATAAACCCCCTAGGACTCTTCAAGGTCAAGGCCATAATTGACCATTAACCTTTTAATCTTTAAGTAGGCCATATGTTCCCATGGTCATTACTGATGACCCCATGTGTCTATCACAACAATTTTTACAAGACCTACGTTTTTGTCAGGAATATGGCAGTTGTTATCACATAGTCCGTTTCTATGTATGTTGGCGTTTGTTTTTGTAGCAGTTCAGTGTTTCTGTTGTTCCGTTTTGTTTCCTCTTATAGTTGATGTGTTTCCCTCAGTTTTGGTTTGTGACCCGGATTTGCTTAAGTTAAATCGATTTATGACTATTGAACAGCGGTATACCACTATTGCCTTTATTTATGATTGTACCGGTCTTGTGGGGTTTTCACGTTTCGACGTTCTCTGTAGCAAAATGGTTTAAGCACAGGTACCAAACGAGATTTTTTCAAAATATATGAAATGACTGAATACACTAGTGTTTATACATATATAAAAAAAACTTGTCTGGCACCTGTGTGTTTAAGTGCTGTTTAACACTACTTTATACTATTCCAGATCTGATATAGGCATAGCTCATTTTCGTATACAATTGGGTAAATGAACTTATTCAAAAATGGTGTTGAGTATGAGGAACACATGTTCGAGTTTTCTGAATGTGGTTCCAAAAGAGGATTTTTATAATTTTCATCTCAAATAGTTGCATTTAAAATATAAATATTTCATGTTCCATGTTTTGAGCAGAAAGATCGTAAGGCAAGATGTGTATGTTACATACATGTAAACGTCGTGATAGCAAAATGAGTAATGTGAATCATGATTCAAATCATAAAGCAGAGATGATTCGTATGTATAGGAAGAACGTTTTTATAGATTTTAGTAGTTTAAAATTGAAATGCGCTAATATAACCTAATGAATTGACCAGTTGATTCACTATGTGAATTTTTGATGAATTAATGGCAACTCTTTTATTAGCGAATCATGTGTTTATGTTGCGTTATTTGTTGATACTCGGGAACAATTATTTATTGTCAATGAATAAGAGATAACAGTAGTTTACAGATGTTTAAATCTCATTAATTGATTTAATACATACAAATCAAGATACAAAAAAATTTAGGGAATTGCATGAACCTCAAAAGGAGCGAGAATTATTAGGAAAAGAGGACACAATCGATAACTCAGAGCAGACGATTATTTAGCTGGTATCATAAGATCTAAGACCGCTAAAACATGTCGATAGTGATTTGAGACACACATCGTTTCAGTCAACCAATTCATGATGTTGATCATAAAACTTATGCATTGGCAACTGCAGTCGTTCTTCCACATATCCCTGTGTTGGCAGTGTTTGTGTCAAGAGCACCCTATTAATGAAGCAACATATAGCGTAACTTATAATTTGAATACGACTATCGATGTGAAAAAAAAATTATCAAAGATACCAGGCTTATAATTTGGTACACCAGACGCACATTTCGTCTACATAAGACCCACCAGTGGGGTTCGAATTAAACAGTAAGAAGGTCAAATCAAATACAAAGTTGACGAGCGCTAATAACCAAAAATTCCGAAAAGTCGTTCCAAATACGGCTGAGACGATCTACACATTCCAAAATTTAAACTGTAAAAGGGACAAATGTTGTTTAAATAAAAATGTATGTCTGAAATAAATACAAATTCGTAAAGGAATATAACCTGCGATTGGTACTGTCAGTTTGAGGGTGTAATATTGACTGCCTTAAAAAAGCCTTTGTCAATTAACTTCAGAATAGTCACTAAAACAAGAGTGCACACGCTGAAATGTCTCGCCTGCTTCACTAGCCTTGATTGATTAAATGTTGAAAATTTTACTTCCAAGTCTAACGTAAACTTAACATGATCAATAATCGATGACAGTCGGGTCAATGTTATGTAAAACCCTGGCAGACAGATATGTACATCTTACAATCAATCCATACACCAAATACTGTTGATCTTTTGCTAATTGTCTCAAAAAATCAGACTAAAACATGTAAACTAATTATTGACCAATGAACCATTAATATGGTCAAGGTCAGATGAAACCTGCCAGTCGGACATGTAAATCTTACAGTCGTTCCATACACCAAATATAGTTGACCTATAAGTTAAAGTATTTTAAAAGAGCTCCAAACTACAGAAACTAACGTTGACCAACAAACCATAAACATGAAGTCAAGGACAAATGATACCTGCCAGACAGACATGTACACATTAAAATCATTCCATACACTAAATATAGTTAACCTATTGCTTAAAGTATACGAGAAACGGAGAAAACCACAAAAACTTAACTTTGACCAATGAACCATGAAATTGATGTCAAGGTCAGATGAAACCTGCCAGTTGGACAAGTTCATCTTACAATCATTCCACACACTGAATATAGTTGACTTAGTGCATATAGTATCTTCGAAACAGACCAAAACAACAGAAAATTAACAATGACCGATGGAAATGAAGTTAAGTTCAGATGAAACCTGCAAGTCAGATATGTACATCTTACAATCTTTCTAAACAGCAAATATAGTTGATCTATTTCATATAATTATATGTATATAAGTATATGAGTATATTTAGAAGTGGACTGGACAAGTTTTATATGACTGATGATATATTTAAACCTTTCAACTATGGGATAAGGAAACTTAATATAAGTCATTGTCAACTCAGAAATAATGCTAGCAACCTAAAATCTCATTTGTTTAATCAGTTCTTATCCGAGAACACTTTTTGTGCAAACTGTAATAACCCTGTTGAGGATAACCAACATTTCTTTTTTATTTGCCCTAAGTACAATGATGTAAGACAGATCCTACTTGATTCCATTTACTCCATTGCTGATAATGTTGACATAAATATTGAATTATTACTTTTTGGAAACAGGTTATTTTCATATGATATGAATATTGCTATTTTTAAATCTGTTCAGAAATATATCAGTGACACTCAACGTTTTGTTTGAAATTTACTAAATTTTTGTTTTATTTAGTTTTATTTTTTTTTTTTTTCTCCTCCACTTCAACATTAATTCATTTATTCCACTAAGTAAGCTTAGTGTCTCTTTCAAGCCATACATTTATATTTCTAATGACTTATAAAGGATATTTGCATGTTTCAAGGTACTTGAATAAATGATGAGTAATTGCCTATATACTTAAATATACTTTACATTTAGTAAGTAACACTGTAAACATATATTTGCTCGTGTGTGCTCATAAGTAGCATGCATGTTCCACTATATTACATTATTTTAAATACAGTTGTTATAATTGAATTATACCTTGTACATGTAATATGGAGAGAGCTTTTATAGGCTGTGCCTGTTGCTCAATCCTTTTCATATCTTAATGAATAAAGTATGTTTAAAATAAAAAATATGAGGTACAGACTTGATCACTTATCCATGAAATGAGGTGGTCAGTTGAACCCTGTCTGACGGATATGTAGACCTTCCAAGGATCATATATACCAAATATAGTTATCCTATTGCTCATAATAAATGAGTATTTCACATGACAAAACAACTCCAAAACTTTTACAAGCAGTCGCTGCACCATGAAAATGAGATCAAGGACAACGGACATATGACAGACGGAAGCTTAGTAACATAAGGCATACAAGGTATAAAGCTTCCAGATCTTCTACCTTCTGAAATATAAAGCTTTATACAAATAGTTTACAACCTAGCTGCCAACGGATTGTTATCCCTGTCTTGTATTCTACAACTTTCGTCCCAATCAAGATAAAAATGATGAAAATAATTTCTTAATTCCAAAGATCTTCAAATGCTGTCATGATTGTCTAAGTTTCATATAATTCCATGAAGGATTGACCAACTTATTTTTTTGTAAAAAACGTTACCCTCAGATTATATATAAATTTTATTTGTAAAACTAAACGAAGCGCACTTATCAATAAACAGATAATTGAAAAAAAAATATTCTCAAAATTTGGATCTGGGTGCTATCTCTTGATCATGGAAAAGTTTCTCACCAATCTTCTTCAAATTCAATTCGTTTGACAAAATTTCTGTCTAAAAAAAATAATTGTTGTTTTAACATAAATATTGATGATGCCAACTACAAAATATACGATCGCTGTGTTTTGCCTTCACAACTTTATTTGAAGGGAATACAAAAACCAAAATGTTAGTTTCTTTAATCTTGAACTCAGGTGGAGAAAAAGTGAAAATAATCTGTTTTGTTATTCACAAATCAAGATGAACAATATCCAAGAACTAACTATTTGCATCTCTGATGTTGATGGCTGAGACTTCTATAGCACAGTTGTTTATAGACTAAGTTTGATTAATAAAGAAAACTCAAAGATGATTGCCATTATCTTGACACCAAAAGGCAAAATAAAATCAAGGCTGGTATTATTAATATTTTATATCACAATATGCTTAATATTTATGACACATTTCAGTGATGATACATCATACATACAAAACACTATTCTGGGTAACATTTAGCTACAAACTGTTGAGAGCACAGGTTGATCAGTATACTGGACTGGAAATAGCAAGATTACACTGAACATAAAAGTGTGAAAATAAAAAAAAAATTTACATAAGCATTAGACATCACATTAGCTTGAATATTTGTGGAATAATTATAATTTTTCAAACTTAAATAAATATGCAGGACAAGGGATAATGCTGAAGAAATTTTTTGAGACTTTTTTACACCTTTACAAGGGCCAGCAATTCAGGTCAATTGGTTATCAAAAGAATAATCTCTAATCACAGATGCATCGTTTAAGATACTTAATTCCTTCCCCAAATGAGATTTCATTTGCTGTACAAGATGCAAGATATACAAATTAGAAACCATACATCTTTGCGAAATTTGATGAAAAACAGATCAATAACATTTATGGCAGAGGTGCAAAAAATTAATATTTCAGGGATTGCCAACAGCTTGTTTAAAAAAAAATTTTCTTTTAATTTTTTAAGGTTATCATTAAGGCAGACATTCCTTCTAAACTGAACAAAATTCTGCTATTAGATTCGACTAAAAATATCCAATTTCTAAAAGAGGAGATATTGTCTGCTTCGAAACTTGTAATCTTATGTTTACAAGATGTTTTAATTTCAGTACTAATAAAACACTTTATAGTGCAGCTATAACACTTTCTTTATAAAGTAACAAAGGGATATTTAGCATCACTTTTCTTTCCAATCTGGGGTTCATGTAGGGATGGCAAATAAGTTTTATTTTTGAGTTGACATTTTTCATAAATATAATTGTAGTAATTTTTAGCTGCAATATAAAAACAATTTTAGGTCAATGTCAGAAATATGTCAGCTTTTTAGTACTTTTTGAAGGACTTGGTTAGCCGTCCCTTCCCAAGTTTCTAAGCCTCATACAAACAGGTTATATTTTTCTGACATTGTCCTAATGTATATCTATTGGTTTTTATTTTTTCCTTTATACTGCTTGCATTTGAGATGCAATTGTTTAAAAAAAAGCTGTCAACTATGCTGGTGGAAGATATCACAGGTGAGACAAGATATATGAATCAGGACAGACAGTATCTATTTTTAGAAAAGAGAGAAAAGTGTGAAAAAGCATCTTCAGAAAAATAAGTAAAAGTGAGTTGATTTTTTTGTTGGGAAGTGTAAGGTAAATCATAAAATTAAAACTTATAATTCAGATGTAAATACAATAACATTTATCATGATTATACAAAAACCATTGGTCAGTTTTAACACTAACATTCACAGACTATAAAAAATAAACGCATATTTTGCTTTAAATACTCAAGCTTCACTGTTTACATTCTTACACTGCCAAAATCAAGCATACAACAAACTCATCTGAACATATACACATCCACTCTCGGATCATGTGATAAATAAAACATAAGTTTTGTACAGGTTATGTAAATGCATCAGCAATATTAAGACTACAGCTTACTTACTTTCACATTACACTTTCAAAAACAAATCTTACATACTCATGTTAAGATTGTATAATCTTGTGAATAATAACTAGAACAGGTGTGCAAGAAAATCATTCTGTTCTGAATGTTTGACAATTACTTGCTATCACATCACTAGAAGTGTTATTCATCTACACTAGTAAATCAATTTTGATCTGAACAGGTCTTTAAAGACTGAACAATAAAATAAGTTAGCCATGTACAATCTTTCAGTCAATTTTCAAACCTATCCACTGCAGTTAATTTAGTACTGTTGAGATACTTCGCTTGCAGTCAATTAAAATTAGTTCAGTCTATTTTCAGTTTGTTTAGTAGCTTTTATTCACCTGTTCAAAACAACATCATACTTAATTGTCTGAAAAGCTACTGAACCGTACTTGATTGACTGAAAGTGAAATGTCTGACATGTACTTACTTACAATAAGAAAAGATCTAAATTTACTTAAACTCTTAATAAGATTTAACCACTTAGGTTCAGACTTTTCAGATGCTGTTAAGATCAAAATAGCTGTTTAAGACTAAAATTCATTTACCAGAGCTGATATCCAGGATGTCCACCAGATACAAAACACAAGAAATAATACTATAAAGGACTGTGGGAGAGGAACACTATTTACTTTCTACTTGTCCTACAACATATATGTCAATCCAAAATCAATCTATAATCCCTTAACATATTCATGTCCTAATATATTTTACTCTTATGTATGATATGTACACATTCTACTGGAGCACAATACTTGCTTATCAGACACTGAATATGGGGGAAAGGGGGGTTGCTGACAAGTATCAAAGTAATGTAGCACAAAATACCATTATGCCTTAGGTAACAGGTATCCTTTGCATAACAATTAGATGTGCATTTGAAGAATGTTTTTGTGTTAAATTTTAAACCATATTGGAATAATTTAATTTTGGATGAAACAAGTCTTCTGATTGGCTGAAAGTTTTTTGTCTATCAGCTCATAGACATAATTTTGTTATGTGACTGTGACATCATCAATGTTTTTTTCATGACTTACTCCTTAAAAATGGAATTAAGAACTAAATTATAAGGAATGACTGTAATATTTTTTCTATCTATTGGGTTTTTCAGTGTGCATCACATTTTTGATGTTATTTCTTCATAGACAGTAAAAATGTTACAGTCATTCCTTGAATAATGTAATAATTCTTCCCTGGAAATTTCAGTGTTCTTATTTCCACTCTTAACCAATGATACTAAAATTCTCTTTCACAATTAATATTTTTTGACAGTGAATAGTATTTTACAGAAACGTTTTAAGACAATTTTAATTTGATAAACCATTTCATTCTTTAACATATCTTATTGGTAACCATGCATGATCATAAGAAACAACTGTAACCCTTGTATCAATAATACCTTATCAAACAAGTAATGCTCTAGGAATGTTACTAATGCACAATATTTACAATAGTAAAAGCTTTGCCATGTTTAGTATTCTGATTCTAACTAAAAGCAGGATTTAATATCTAAAGTTAAAGTTAAAAGGGGTTCCATTAAAAGCATATGCCGAACACAAATTGTGCTATGTAGAGACAGACTTAAACTTTGGTTATCTGGAAACTACACTGAATTTTCTGAGCACCATGGTAATTTTTGTTGCTGAAATATGGCATACAGAATAACTATCTATATCAATTATGATTCTCTGTACTAGACACTTAGATCATGTATACTGTAAATGCAAACATATTTATTGCAGTTTTATTTTCACCATTTTCATTTTACTGTTTGTCCACAAAAATTTAAATTTCATGAATTTAAAGTTAATATGTAATAAAAATTTTCTCATATAAATATGAAAACATGAAATTTAAAACTCAAGAAACATGTTAAAACACCCAAAAAATTTAAAAAAAATTGCTTGTATAAATTTCATTGTGGAAATGGTTACGCTGGCCTTTTATGTGAACACATTTCATTGCACATAAGTGAACATTAGATTTTATAGTAAATGTAAAATATCTACATACAATTAAAGCAATGGGTTAGCCAAAATCCAAAAGAAAGATCTAAATATAAAGAAAAGGTTACAGTAACATGTAAGAAGATTTAGAGGATTGAAAAGACCAAATCATAGTCTACGAGGATTTTCAGAACCATGGTTTTCATTTTGTTTTTTCACCCCAAAATAATTTGAACAACGTCATAGGCATTGTCTTAAGTAAGATTGTTTCAAAACTTTTTTATATAATAATTTAAATGATATTTTAAATAATACCCCTACCTGAAAACTTTTTGCAAAAAGATACCATTATACACATACAAAGTACTACATCATTATTTCTGATACCAATGGATGAAAACATTTATTATTTTTTGCATACATGTAGCTGTTTGTTGTCCAATAATTACCAAGAAACTCATTTCAATTCCATAAATAGTGTGTAGATTAATTTTGTAAAAACTGATTTATTCTTAAACAGCCAGAAAATTAAAAAAAAAACGATTTGATAATTTCGTTTAAAAATCCTCTAGTTATCATGTGTTGAGTATCATAATTTTGTGCTGTCAAAAATGTATACATCCAGAAATTGACCTTATCAATGGCCAATAAAATCTGACACTAGCTATAGGTAAACAGTATTGTCCAGATGTCCTGGTCATACCATCTAATTACTCCACAACCAGACAATACCTAAATATGCCAGTTAAACACTTAAAATATGTAAATTCAATTAAATAGGTTTTCTTTTATAAAACGAGGACATGTCAAGAAGCACTTTCAAAACATTTTTTTGAATATCAATAAAAAGAATTCCTGACAATACATATGTATCTGTAATGAACAAAACAGTGTATATCAAAACAGATCTTTCTGTAATGTTAACTATAACATAAGCAACATGAATATGACAATACTTGAAATAGACATATTACAATACATTGTCATAAGATCAAAGAATTGTACAGCACTTGCAATAACGTTGACGTCCATTTCCAACTGATGGTGGTGGTGTCACTGGTGCGAAATATGCATGGACTTTGATATTTGGTAATCTTGTCTGAAAAATAGTGAAATACGTTTTGAGCCATTTGCTATATGTTACAGAGATGTACAATTTCAAAAATATATTATATTTCAGTTAAAGAAATTATGGATTTATACTGTATAAGATATATGATTGTCATTTTTTTTTTTTAAATTTAGTATTGTGGTTTTTTAAATAAAGAAATCAGGTATTTCAAAATCATGTAAGGTGAAGCACTTGTCTGGGAATCTCAATAAGAAAACCGTCTATTTCACACCAGAATATAACAAAAACTGTCCTATACAGTGACCTCTCTGAAAATGGTTCTATATATAATATATTAGATGTTGATACAGAGATATGTCTTGCAATTTTGATAAGAAAATACAAATTTTAAAATAATCAAAATGGGAATACTTTAACATGTAAAATATGCCAAATATTCAGTGTATGAACCATGACTTGAGGTGCAGGGCCAAATAATTTCAGTGGAAATCAGAAATGTCAATGTTAATACAACTGCTTACTGAATATCATTAAGTTATCATGAGCGGTTCCCCTTAAACTGTAAACATGTAAACTATGCAAAAGTTACAAGGTCAATGAACCATGACTGAGGGACAGGGCCAATGCTTATACAACTTATAACAAATATCATTGACTACCATTAGTGGTTCATATCAAACTGATTTAAACACAAACTTTATCATTTAATCTAAGCAAAATTTTCAAAGTCAATAGACCATGAGTCAATTGACCATGACTGAGGATGCAGGGTCAAATAATCTCCATGGAAACCAGAGTAGTTAATGTTAAGATTACTGAATACCAAATCTCATTGACATACCATTAGTGGTTCCCCTTAAATTGACATAATCGCAAACTTTAACAAATTGTTTTATGCCACTGCCTGGAACAACAAGTGTTAGTCTAGGCTTAGTATCTTTATTGAGGCGAGACAATAAATGATATATGCATACATATGGGATGTAAAACTAAATTTTGGTGTTGATGAACACTTTTTATATCTATTGTGTACTATATATTTTTCAAATGTGTTTTGTGTCATTTTTTCATAACGAGTTGATGCAGTCTTAAGTATGAACATTGACTATTATCAAGACACTCTATGTATAGAATAAATTAAAGAACCTTAGTGAGCGTGCTCACATACCCCACGTCCCCACATTGTCATTGGAGAAATAAAATATGTGTAAGAAAAAAAAATTGTATAAGAAAAAAAAATTGAATCGCAATTTCCTGTCGATATGCACAACTACATAGTATGTCCTTATTATCTAAAAAGGTTTCGTGAAATTCTGTTGTGTGGTTTGAGAGGAGTTGCGATGACAAGAAACAGGACTGACAGACAGACGGACTGACGGACGGGTCAAAAACATTATACCCTCCGCAACTCGTTGCGTGGGGTATAAAAAAAATTATCCATATTGTGGTTATATACTGTAATCTGTCAATGATTACTGATTTTATGTCAATTTCATATCACATAGCAATTACTAAATGATGAACTGGTAAATTCCAATTAGTGAAAAGACAATGGTAAATACTGAAAAACTGCAAGAACTCAATCAAGATAAAAGATGTTGTTTTTTATTGCAAATTCTCTTCACCACAATTTTTTTTTCTCCACTATAAGCTAGAATGGTGACCACCAGCGGAAACACTGTAACACTTTTTTTATGTATGTAAGTAAATATCAAGCACAAAAATCATGAAATATCTCCTTCTCATCTAACTGAAGCTCTTGTGTAACACTGCACATTCAAGATTCTCTATTCACCTGCCAATCATATCCCATTATTTTGAAGAAAAATTTACTGTTCTCCCATTCCAAATTTAACAAAATATTACAAACAGTTTTACTTACCCTTAATCTCCTGATACCAGCTCTAGTAATTAACTGACAATCATAAAGTTCTATTCTTTCTAGACTTTGACATCCCATTAAATGTTCCAAAGAAGCATCAGTTATTAGAGGACAATTGTCTAGTTCTAAAATTTTTAAATGTTCAGTAGCACAGGCACTCGCACCTATATGTCTAATACCTTCATCTGTAAGCAACTCACAGTGTGATAAACTCTACAACAGAAGTCAATATTTTTCAAATGTTGACTTTTAGTTTTTGTTATTTGTAAATTGCAAAAATGATCAGCAACATAAAGAGTAACTATATTATGTGTATATAAATGTCCTAATTATTGTTTTTTGTTTGTTGTGCTGTTGTACTTCTGCCCCAGATTAAGGAAGGGTTGGGTGCCCGCAAACATGTTTAACCCTACCACATTCTGTATGTGCCTGTTCCAAGTCAAGAGCCTGTAATTCAGTGGTTGTTGTTTGTTGCTGTATTTCATATTTGTTTTTTGTTTTTTATTTTGTACATAAATCAGGCAGTTAGTTTTCTTGTTAGAAAAGTTTTTTATTTGTCATTTCATTGTCTCTTATAGCTTGCTATGTGGTATTGGTTTGGCTCATTGCTGAAGGCCATACAGTGACATTTAGTTGCTAACTTCTAATTCATTTGGTCTTAGTTTTATATTAACTTTGACAAAAATTTTCTTTTAGATGGATGGACGAACAGACAGAGTCGAGCGCATGAAAAATCAATTTATATTTTCATATACAAAAGCAATACATGAATATTTACTGTAAATATAAGATTTGAATACATCTTTTCTAGATTCTTAGTGATAAATAAGGAAATGTCATAGAACAACTTAAACAAAAGGGGAGCTTTTCCATGCAAGAGGTACAACATAATCTTGTTCCTCCTTATCAGTTCAACTTATAAAATCTCCACTCATTTATAAAATTCTAATAACATATAACTTTAATTTCAGTTCTAGGATGTAAATTAAATTAAATATAGTATATTAATGATTTTAAGTATAAAAATGCCTTACCAATGCACTAAGCTTAGGACAAAACATTGCTAAGTAATTCAGTGTTGTGTCTGTTATCTGGAAGACAAGAGAATACATTTGGTAATAATATAGACAGTCATTTCTAGTTCTTAAAAAAAAATGGGAGCTGGAATATTCTAAAGTACACGAAATTCATTTACACATACAACATGTATAAGGAAATCTACCTTTCTACTATCGTCCTTAATATGCATTAATATTTACCACTAGATACTAAGTAAGCAAAATTAAGTCATATTAATCTTTAAGTTTAAAGATTACACATATTTTGTTTTAATATATATTATAAGGTCACATGATCAGAGAAGTACATATGTATAATACAAACTACATGTTGCTGTTATACAATATTGTAAGCATCGTGTACATAGATTTTGTGATTTACTTAAACCACAAAATTTCTTATCAAATAAAATGTTATGTTTTCACTTCGTCATGTGCAAAGCTCAAATAAAACAATTCAAAAATCCTTCCTCCATAAACATACAAACTGTTACCCAAGGGTAAGTTCTTTCACAAATGAAAGAGCCTTTATTGAGCAAGATCACATACCTAATGCCCCCAACATAAAGGGTGATCTGCTGGCTTAGTTTTTTCTGTTTACATTAGGTATGATTATTTTCTGTTATAATTTCAGATAATTTTTCATACATCAAGTTATGTCATGAGTTATCAAGTGGTAAGTATAATTCCCAACTTAAAGATAAGTACATCTATTTAGGGACCACCATCCTTATTTCAGATTTTTCTGATTATTGACCTCATTTGAGGTTTAGAATAGTGGAAATCTTCATATAAATTTGAAGAGGATTTGATAAAACAAGAGTACACATGCTGAAATTTTTCTCCTGCTTTAAGGATCATGATTGAATTTTATGTTGAAAGTCTTAGAGATCAAAGTCTTACTATAAGTACTGAATAAAATATAACATTACCATTGATCCATGAAAAGGAAGTCAAGGTCAGATGAACCATGACCGACAAACATGTTCACCTTACAATCATTCTATACACCAAATTTAGTAGACCTTCAACTCAAAGTATCTGAGAATCAGACAATCTTAACAACTAACCATTGACCAATGAACCATGAAAATGGGGTCAAGGTCAGCCCAACCAGTCAGACATGTACCTCTTATAATCACTCTATGCACCAAATATACTTGACATATAGTGTAGAGTATCTTAGAATTTACCTAAAACTTTAAGTCGATCACTGACAAAAACGAAATGAAATCAAGGTCAAGTGAACCCTGTCTGACAGACATGAATACCTTGTGCTGATTCCATATGCCAAATATTGTTATCCTATTACATGTACTCATAATAACTGAAAAAATCACCTGATAAAAAAATAGTTTTTAGCAGTCACTGAGCCAGGAAAATGAGAACAAAGACACCCAACATATGCAAGATGGAAACTTCTGAACATAACAGATCTGTATACAAAATGATAATTATCCAGTTAATTACTTTCTGAAATAAAAAGTTCATGCAGTCACTTAGCAACCTTTTGTCTCACATCCGCATATTTCGTCACAGCCAAGACTAAATGAAGGGGAGATCTTAACGACAAGAATTAATATGGGATACTTTTAAAAGTCCCCCTCCAAAAAAATAATCCCCCATTTCAGATTTCAGAGGTAGCATTGGTTTCTCTGATGATTATTAGACAATATGTAAACAGATTGTTGGTGACCTGTGGAAAAGAGTGGTCTTTTCATGTAACATCATCGAGGATGGTCATCTTTTTTCAAATAGTTAATAATCAAATGAGGAACTTAGAACAAATGCATTCTTATCATCAAAAGATAAGCAACCAGTCAACAAAAGTTTGTCTGCTAACTTCAGAAACTTTCATCCATCCAACTGCAGTATTATCCTATTTTTCAAAACAATTATCCATCATTCTTTGTTCATAAAACAACAAATCTGTTAATCATATGCATAAATGTTACCTGTATACATTCCTCCAGATCCATTTTTTCCAAATTGCTGCAATTCTGAAAAAAAGATAAAATAAGAGCATTAAATTGTACAAACAAAGGTAAAAATATATAATTAATCTCCAGAACCAGTCAGCATAAAATAAAATATGTTCTTTTTCAATCTCTGCTTCTATTTTTTTCCTTATTTCAATTGAATACCATTCATATGCAGTGTTCCAGCTTGAATCTCAGGGCAGAAGGGTGCTAGTTGTCTGAAAGGGCACTTAAGCGTTATAACCCAGATTTTAAGGGCAATGTTGGACAATGTATAAATTACCTTGAATATTGCTAGGCTCAGCTGGAGAACATTAGTTGTATTTAAACCATATTCAGAAATTAATGTGTTCTTGATGTTGGTTCCAGTAAGAATTTTTTTTTATCAAATAATCATACAGTTTTACCATGAAGCAAAGCATATCATTTTGATGTTAATCTAAACAAATTGTACATTTGGTAAGGAAATAATCATCAGAAATTTCAATGTTTTATAACTTATACCAAAATAAACAAGTAGTTTTGAAAGATGGAGTTATAATGCAAAATTGAATGTTTAATGTAATTAAATTATCTACATTTAAATTACTTGTTCAAACATATAGTATATGTTATTGAGAGTTATTTATTATCATTTGAATTGTAACAAAAAAGTATTTTTAAGTGCACACCAAAGTGCTCCTTAGTAAGGAGTTTTATAAATATAACAGGTGAGACAGGAGATGGTCATATTATATTGATGCAATTATATATCACAGAAGGTATAAACAGTTACTTTTTTCTCCATCATTGTTAAAAATAAATTTGTTGAGTGCTCCTATGTCAGGAGGATTATAAACTGATAAAATACAAGAAGTAAAACAGGGAGTGAATCTTGTTATGTTCAAAGTACAAATTTCTTTGATTCTTCTTTAAATTTCATACTCATGGTTATGAAACAAAACATTTTTTACCAATTAAGTCAAAACTATGTATGCCTCTAAAATTGTTTAAGATTTTATTTCTTATGTTATGCCTACTGAAATAAATTTTTCATGGTGTACATGCTGTACATAAACATTACAAATGGATAACATGTGGACATTTCATTCTGTATTAAATATCTAGTATTTGTTCAATTATCTTAAATCCCCTAATTAGCAGTAAACAATCATTAACAAAGGTGATACAACTGCCAAAGCATGAGTTATTTAACTTAATCCCATTGTCAGTTAATTAGTGTTACACAATCACTTGAATCAGGTAACAATTTTACCAGAAACGCCGGTAACATGAAATTTGTAAATTTTAATTTTTTGAAAAGGCAGAGGGGGGCATTCTTTTACTTTGGAGGGCAGAAGGGCACCAAGGGCGGGCCGCCCTTCTATTTAGGGCAGGTGGGAACACTGATATGCATATAACAGAAATTTTTAAGCACAAAGTTGTGCAAATAATTCACTACTGCAAATATTTCTAATGCTTTGACCATCAGTATCTATCTTTTTTTTTTTTTAGAGGAAGTGGGGGTGGATTTTTTTTTCAGGTTTCAACACTCAATCAACTTTTGATTAATTGATATAGTCCAAACTAGATAAGGGCACTTTGCACATAAAAGTATTGGTTTAACGAAGGTTTTACTGTATTCTGTGCCTCTCCCTTGCAAAGCAGTTATTATTAGTTCCAAATAAACCATATACAGTTATAAGATATACAATCTTGAACTTGATTTGACCCTCAAAGAATTACTATTCAAGCACTCTCATATAAAATTAAGTATAGGACTTTAAAATAAACTGCTTCGCTGAGCGCAGCTGGATACGCCCGCAGAGGTCCAACCCTGAACAGTTGGGGCAAAAATGGACACAATATTCAAGCTTGATACAGGTCTGAATTTGGATTGTAATTAAATATTTGGCATATTATAGGTTTCTGAATAAATGTAGTCAAAGAACTTGAAATTGGTTATATGAATTGAATTTATATTCAATTAAAGATTTCTTGCTGTTGTGCAATACACTGTGCTGTTGCGCAATACTAAGTAAATCTGTTGTCAGACTATAAACAAATAAAGTTCAATTAATTCTCAATGTCATATTAGAAATTAATGAAAATGTAAAGGGAGCTTACATCAATAGATATAAACAATTCACCAAAGTTTCATGAGAATTGCTGACAGCATTTTTGAGTTATTGTCCGAAAATTGGAAAATCCCCCCTTTTTTAATGAATAAAACCCCATAACTCAGAAATGTAAAATGTAAAATTTATAAAATTCCAAACGGAGCTTACATCAACAGATATAAACAATTCACCAAAGTTTCATAAGAACTGCTGAAAGCATTTTTGATTTTTTGTCTGAAAACTGGAAAATCCCCCTTTTTTTATGAATAAAACCCTGTAACTCGGAAACGTAAAATCTCAAATATATAAAAATCGAAAGGGAGCTCATGACAATAGATATAAAAAATTCACCCCAATTTCTTGCAAGTTGGTGAAAGCATTCATGAGTTATTGTCCGAAAACTGGAAAATCCCCCTTTTTTTAATGAATAAAACCCCATAACTCGGAAACTTAAAATCTAAAATTTATTGAAAACGAAAGGGAGCTCATGTCAATAGATATAAACAACTCATCAAAGTTTTATGCAAATTGGTTAAAGCATTTTTGAGTTAATGTCCGACATGTTGACGATGGACGGACGAACGGACAGACGGACAGAGGTATACCATAATACGTCCCGTAAACGGGCGTATAAACACTAAAATGCCAAGTTGCCAGTCTGAAAACCTGAATTTCATACAGTTAAAATACCAGTATTGCAACATGCAATATATGACTCTAAATGCAGACTACTTGCTTAGATCCTTTTTAATGCAGAAAATGGCATTCTCCTAATAGGTGGCTTATGGTTGTAATATTTGATTGAATTGTGTATAAAGTAAATATAATGAGCATCAAATTCTAAATATTTTAATTTGGATGTTTGCTGTATATACAAGTGAAATGTAGAATTGTTTTAATGTTGTATAATATGAACTACATTTGCAGAAATATTAAGACAACTGCTTATTTAAGAGTTTGAAACTCCTACCCTTGCTAAGGCTTGGAATCCATTATCTGTGAAATGTGAACAGTCAGCAACTTCTAATGTACTGAAATATAAAACTGAATATCATTGTACTGTGCAATGATATACACAATATTCAAACACATATAAGTCTTTCACCTTCATTGCTTTTTGCACTAACTTCAAGTTTCTGAAGTGAATAAACAAATAAAATTCTTTAATTAATTTAGCTTTTGTGAAACATCCCCTTTTCTAAGAAAAAATGTGTTTAATATACATGACCTAGACAGATGAAAAAATTTAGTTTTTCAGAGTTGCCTTCAATAGATATAAGAAGATGTGGTATGAGTGCCAATGAGATAACTCTTCAAACACATTAATTTCGTAAAGATGTCTAGTCTGTTTGATATGCAAAGCTTTTTACTCCAATATTTCAATTTTAAATTGTTATATTTAGCATTTAAAGTCAAATTGTTTATTCCAAAAATTTATCATTTTCATATTCTTAAATGTTCTAATGGGTAAAGACAGATAACAAATGACAAAAATACTGACAATTATCTGATGCATTCTTAGGATTGACCTCTACACCACACCCATCCTACATTCATTCGCCAAAGTTGTTTTAAATACTCACGTGAGATTATGACATCCTTGACCTAAAGAGACTAGTGAAGCATCAGTCAGACGTGTACAATTTGAGAGACATAAGAATAATATCTGATGACAATGGTCTCCAATCTCCTGTACTGCATCATCTGTTATATTCTAAAATTATTTCAAAGTAAATAAACCTTGTTGTCTTCATATGAAACTCATAGCAATGAAGTTTTGTATTGCCTTTTGCTTAATTTTTTGAACTTTTCCAACCCAGATAAAGCCATGTGCTGGCAACTAAAATAATTAACATTTAAACATGTTTGATATTTTTTTAATTATTATTGGCTGTCTTCAACATCCTTGTTTTTTTTTAATATGCAATTGTAAAAAAACAAATAATTACATCTGAAGAACTGAATGCTCTGTATAAAATCTTCAACCTTCTGTGTTTTAATTATCACATACACATAGATTAAATTCACATTTCCAGTTTTGCAAATAAAAAGAGTGCATTTCACAGTTTGAAGAAGCAATAAATGTACGAAAGTATGACAGCCATTACTAATAAAATCAAAATCAAATACAGTCGACTCTCGTTATCTCAAAGTCAACCGGACCAGAGAAATATTTCGAGATACTTGTAGTTTGACTCAAAGAAAACCGGAAGTTTGACAGACCAAGGGACACAACTCTTGCTTAGCTTGGTAAAGCTAAAATAAATCCGGATGAATATGGGAAGGGGAATCGATATTATGGTCTCAGATCTATGTTTTTGTACGTTATGGTCTTTCATTATTATAATATTTTTTTTTCTCACTTATCTATTTCTTTGAATGGTTACAATTTTTCCCTGTGGCTTTTAGCTGAGAGAGTAATTTCCAATCAATCTTATCATTATTCAAGTTATTTAAAGTTGACAAAATTGTTCATTCTCGTATACAAGAGATTTTAGAAAATCTAGATTTTTTTTCATTTTCTTTTGTCTCAATCAGAAAAATACAATAAGATTAAAGACATCGATTGAGTAGTTTTGGGTGATCACCAACGGAAGTCTTAATCCCCAATTTATACACATCCAAGCTCATCAGTGTATGATTACGATTAATTATTTTTAAATCATTGTAAATAATTTTTCATCAACTATAACAATGTATCACTAATCATTTATCATGGTGATAAAAGATAATCTTATGTAAACACTCGTGGAAAAAGCGTCCAGTGGTCAGTGACCGGAAATTTAATTACACGTGTATTGTCAGATTAACTCTTCAATCAATTTAAATCCCGAGGTCATGTTTTGACATTTATGTATTAGTCCGAGATAAATAATGAATTTTGAATGATTTTGTTAACCTTGGAACCGTAAATTTAGTTTGAGTCAACTGAAATTTCGACTCGTCCTATTTCGACTCATCAGGAGTCGAAATACATATATTAATATGAAAAAAAATTGGGGACCTTGAGAAAACTGTGACTCATCCGAAATTTCGAGTCAACCGAGTTTGAGACAAAGAGAGTTAACTGTATGTTTATGCTGTGAAAATCAGTCACTTCATAAAGAGAAATTAGATTACACCATATAGAATAAACAATATAATTTTCAGAATAAAATCTGTTGGTGAAAAATTGGAAACCCGTTGAACAAACAAACACAGAAATATTAATCTACCACAGTGGTGATAGCTGTAAGTTATTTGTACATTTAATAATTTTGGTACCAAATAAAGTATATAGTTGTCTCTGAAATTCAATTCTGGTATACATATCCCATTCTCATTTTTTCTGTATAAAATATTCATTATCATAGTTAAAATAGTTGTGGCTTATTCTAACAATGCTCCACATTCTGTAAAATTTAACAAAGTTGTTTTCATGACCAAAGAAAATTTGTTAATATAGAAATCATATCAAGCTACATATAGAATAAAATTTTCAAAAAAATTTCCTCAACGAAATAAGATATGGATAATATGCAGCTTTTATCTTCTCATTTATATTCTGTGAAAGCATTAGAAATGTTTGCATTTACATATTTTCAATTTATATATATCCTATATATCCTATTCTACAGCCTTCCAATGACATTGATACATACTGTGCAACTATGAAGGTTGATCTTCTTCAGTTTTTCACAATTTTTAGCTATATAACCAACACCTTCATCTGTGACCTGTAAAATATAATTATTGATGCTGAGGACTTGCATGTGTATAAAAAAACTCATCAAAGATACCAGGCTTATCATTTTGTGTGCCAGACATGGGTTTCTTATTCAAGACTTATCAGTGATGCTTGAATCAAAACAGTTAAAATGACAAATAGAGTACGAAGTTGAAGAGTGTTGAGGGCTAAACATTTTCAAAAGATTTTGCGCAAGATATTTAAACCTATTCCTGGGGTCGAAAATCCTTAGTATTTCAAACAATTCAAAGATTTGTAAATAGTTAATATGAAAATATCAATGATATTTCAGGTCAACTGACTACTAGGCTGGTGATACCCTTGGGGAGGAAACCTCCACCATCAATGGTATCAACCCAGTTGTTGTAAAAAAAAATTATCAAAGTAACCAGGCTTATAATTTTGTAAGCCAGACACACCTTTCGTCTACAATAATTGAACAATCAAAATATGAGCATGTAAATATATTCATATTTATATTTCATTCCAACATTAAATTAAATTCCTAACAGTGTTTTAGTAACAAACCATCATCAATATATAAGGCACTGGTGTGATTTATATACAAGGATCTAGTAACCTATACATGTACAAGTATTTTTATTAGCAACAATACTTCTCTCTATTTTTAAGAATCAAATGCTTCTTATTGTTATTTTATTTGTGTTTAAAATCATTGACCAAAATACATTTTGTATATCATACTTAAATGTGTGCACATTCAATACTTTTACCAAAAAAATGCAACCCTCAATTCTTTAATTACTTATGCCACAACAATGAAATCAAGCCTTTCAATTGTTTTTCATATATGACTTGTATGGCTAATATATTTTTTGTGAAAGGAAAAACAAATTATAATTAGCTCTGACAAGTGACTCAAATGTTACCCTTTGCAATTCTATTACACCATGAAACTTTTATAAAGAACTATTGACCTCACCTGTGTTAAACCTTTGCCTATATATGTATGTAAGTTATGACAACCTTTGCTCAAAGCCTCTAACCCATCATTGGATATTCTGGTACACCAAGATATATTTATAAACTGCAGAGTACGGCACCCATCACTAAAAAATATTACATTTTTTTCAGTTTTAACGATGTGATATATGGTTTTAGACAATAAAATAAAGTATTTTAACTATGGAACATTTGAAATATGATCTCAGAAAGTTGAAATTATCACTGAAACACAACTGGTAAACTGAATCTCAGTTAATAAACATTTTTATCATTAACTTTAAAGCATACCCAGCAAGTACTTTTACCAAGAAAATGCTATATTTTCCAATGAAATTTTGAAAAGACAATACAGTAAACTGTTTAAAGGAACACCCCCCATATTTCCCTTCAGGTTTCAAAATAATGTCCCAAACTTTGCTATGCATATTGTTTTTTTTCAGAATAATCAATTTTGTTGTTTTATTTGAATTTCTGACAGGACAAGAAAAGACAGTCATCGTCATCTTTATTTCACTTTAAAAAAAACATGACTAAGTCTAATACGTACAATTTAATTTGTTACTATCACTAGCAACTACCCTTCTATTATCACTTATATATCCCAGTCTTTACCTAATCTTATCACTTATTCTAGCCCTAACTTATCTGTAAATAAACAATGAACTAAATACTTATATTTTCAAAACTCAAAACTAAAACTGAACCATACCCCTTAAATAAAAGAAAATAGGTACCCTACTACTACAAACAACAAAACTACAAACCTTAAGGCTTTCAAGGATTTATCAGTAATCTGTTGACATGAACTGATATCTAACCAACTTAACTTATACTACATACATTAAGGCTTTCAAGAATTTACCAGTAATCTGTTGACAGGAACTGATATCTAACCAACTTAACTTATACTACAAACCTTAAGACTTTCAAGGATTTATCAGTAATCTGTTGACAGGAACTGATATCTAACCAACTTAACTTATACTACAAACCTTAAGGCCTTCAGGGATTTATCAGTAATCTGTTGACAAGAACTTATATCTAACAAACTTAACTTTTACTACAAACCTTAAGGCTTTCAAGGATTTATCAGTAATCTGTTGACAAGAACAGATATCTAACCAACTTAACTTATACTACAAACCTTAAGGTGTTCAAGGATTTATCAGTAATCTGTTGACATGAACTGATATCTAACCAACTTAACTTATACTACAAACCTTAAGGCGTTCAAGGATTTATCAGTAATCTGTTGACATGAACTGATATCTAACCAACTTAACTTATACTACAAACCTTAAGACTTTCAAGGATTTATCAGTAATCTGTTGACATGAACTGATATCTAACCAACTTAACTTATACTACAAACCATAAGGCCTTCAGGGATTTATCAGTAATCTGCTGACAAGAACTTATATCTAATCAACTTAACTTATACTACAAACCTTAAGGCTTTCAAGGATTTATCAGTAATCTGTTGACAAGAACAGATATCTAACCAACTTAACTTATACTACAAACCTTAAGGCGTTCAAGGATTTATCAGTAATCTGTTGACAAGAACTTATATCTAACCAACTTAACTTATACTACAAACCTTAAGGCTTTCAAGGATTTATCAGTAATCTGTTGACAAGAACTTATATCTAACCAACTTAACTTATACTACAAACCTTAAGGCGTTCAAGGATTTATCAGTAATCTGTTGACAAGAACTTATATCTAACCAACTTAACTTATACTACAAACCTTAAGGCTTTCAAGGATTTATCAGTAATCTGTTGACATGAACTGATATCTAACCAACTTAACTTATACTACAAACCTTAAGGCTTTCAAGGATTTATCAGTAATCTGTTGACATGAACTGATATCTAACCAACTTAACTTATACTACAAACCTTAAGGCTTTCAAGGATTTATCAGTAATCTGTTGACATGAACTGATATCTAACCAACTTAACTTATACTACAAACCTTAAGGCTTTCAAGGATTTATCAGTAATCTGTTGACATGAACTGATATCTAACCAACTTAACTTATACTACAAACCTTAAGGCTTTCAGGGATTTATCAGTAATCTGTTGACATGAACTGATATCTAACCAACTTAACTTAAACTACAAACCTTTAGGCTTTCAGGGATTTATCAGTAATCTGTTGACAAGAACTGATATCTAACCAACTTAACTTATACTACAAACCTTAAGGCTTTCAAGGATTTATCAGTAATCTGTTGACATGAACTGATATCTAACCAACTTAACTTATACTACAAACCTTAAGGCTTTCAAGGATTTATCAGTAATCTGTTGACATGAACTGATATCTAACCAACTTAACTTATACTACAAACCTTAAGGCTTTCAAGGATTTATCAGTAATCTGTTGACATGAACTGATATCTAACCAACTTAACTTATACTACAAACCTTAAGGCTTTCAGGGATTTATCAGTAATCTGTTGACAAGAACAGATATCTAACCAACTTAACTTATACAACAAACCTTAAGGCTTTCAAGGATTTATCAGTAATCTGTTGACATGAACTTATATCTAATCAACTTAACTTATACTACAAACCTTAAGGCTTTCAAGGATTTATCAGTAATCTGTTGACATGAACTGATATCTAACCAACTTAACTTATACTACATACATTAAGGCTTTCAAGGATTTATCAGTAATCTGTTGACAAGAACTTATATCTAACCAACTGAACTTATACTACAAACCTTAAGGCTTTCAAGGATTTATCAGTAATCTGTTGACAGGAACTGATATCTAACCAACTTAACTTATACTACAAACCTTAAGGCTTTCAGGGATTTATCAGTAATCTGTTGACATGAACTGATATCTAACCAACTTAACTTATGACTATGCTTCCCTAAGTGTTCACAAGTACTGAAACAAAAAAGTATTTATTGTTATATTAAAATATGTGACTGACAATCTCACAGCTCATAATTTTTTTTCTGTAAGGTTAAGAATTTTTTTGTGTACTGTTGTTTTTTGTGTAATGTTGTTCTATTTTTTTTGTTGGTTGTTTTCGTTTTTTGCCATGACATTGTCTGTTTGTTTTCGACTTATGATGTTGAATATCCTTTTAATATCTTTCGCCTCTCTTTGTCAGTTACAAACCAGCAAATGATTACAGTTGGTCAGTTGTATAAAACAAAATCAAAAACTGTTGCACTGATTTAACTGATTCATTGTATTTCTGTAAATATGAATTATAAGCAAAATGTTAGGAGTAAAACTTTGTCTTTAAGAATATATGTTTTCATACTGTTAAGCAAGGATAATGCACAGAAGAAGGCAAAATATTTATAGAGTGTTTTTGAGTATTTTCTTCATGTGAAAAATTCTTAAATTTCAAACAACCTTATGACATCATATACCAGTAACCTGTATTTCAGCAACATTGTTTAACTGATAACATTAATGGTTCCTATTAAACAACAAAAGATGGACATTGAGACAATTAATGTCTCTTCAGTGAGGTTTAATTGATTTAATTGGCGATTGCTTTACGCTGCATCAGCACAAAAAGGCTATATTGCGGCGACAGTGAGGTTTGAGGCCAAGTTATTAGAAATACCAGTACCTAATACAAATGTTATAAACCTAACCAAACAAATAATCAAAATTATAGCCAAACCTGAACAAGGAATCAGAGCTATGCTAAGGATAACTTTCATTGACATGTCTTGATTCAAACATATTCTAGCTGGAAATCTTCAAACTTAGACCATGACCATAAAAGTGCAGCCGACAAATATGCTGTTTTCAGTTTGTCTGCATAGTTTTTCAGATAAAAGACTTAAATTTGCAAAAATAAAACTAACCTGTGAGTGAACAAACAAAGAGATACCCCGGCCTCTGCCCATCAATACTAATTATATATATATATTGAAATAAGTAAGATCTATTATCTCCACTTTAACATATTGAACAGGATTATATTCCTTTATGCACATCCACAGATGATGTTCTACAACAGTGTAAAGTTTCATAAATATCCATCTTGCTGTTTAGGAGGAGATGTACTTTTAAGGCACATGTACACACAGTCCAACAGACAGGGTGACTTCTATAATCTTCATGAAACTTCTATCTATGCTATTGATGCTTTTAAAAGCTAGACAATAATCCTTGTATGAAGAATTCAGATAAAAAAAATAAGGTCACTTTGACACTAATGATAATGAAATAAAATGCTCCGCTGGGCGCAGCTTGATACGACCGCAGAGGTCAAACCCTGAACAGTTGGGGCAAGTATGGACACAACATTCAAGCTTGATACAGCACTGAATTTAGATTGTGATTAAATATTTGACACAGCACAGGTTTCTGACACAGAATGAATGTGGTCTAAGAACTTAAAAAATTTTTAATTTACCTAATCAAACCATATCATTATTATTTGCTTTTATATATAAATCAGAAATAACCAATTTAAAATGGAAAATTTTAAAGAAAACCCCACCCCCCCCCCCCAATTTTTTTGAACCCCCTTATGATTCATCACCCCCAAACTCAATCCCAGCCTTCCCTTTGTGGTATGGTACCTGCAGTACAATTTCAGAGAGATCAATTCACTTGAACACAAGTTATTGTCTGGAAACTAGAAAAATGCTTGTTTTTTGGCCCCTTTTTGGCCCAAATTCCTAAACGTTTAGGGCAATTACCCCCAAACTCAAACCCAGCTTTCCCTTTGTGATATGGAACCTTGTAGTACAATTTCATAAAGATCCATACACTTACACACAAGTTATTGTCCTGAAACTAGAAAAATGCTTGTTTTTTGCACCTTTTTTGGCCCCTAATTCCTAAAATTTTGAAGCAATTACCCCCAAAATCAATCCCAGCCTTCCCTTTGTGGTATGGTACCTTGCAGTACAATTTCAGAGAGATCCATACACTTGAACACAAGTTATTGTCTGGAAACTAGAAAAATGCTTATTTTTGGCCCCTTTTTCCTAAACGTTTTGGGCAATTACCCCCAAACTCAATTCCAGCTTTCCCTTTGTGATATGGAACCTAGAAGTACAATTTCAGAAAGATCCATACACTTACACACAAGTTATTGTCATGAAACTAGAAAAATGCTTGTTTTTTCCCCTTTTTTGGCCCCTAATTCCTAATATTTTGAGGCAATTACCCCCAAAATCAATCCCATCATTCCCTGTGTGATATGGAACCTTGTGGTACAATGTCAGAGAGATCCATACACTAACAAACAAGTTATGTCTGGAAGTTACAAAAATGCTTATTTTTGGCCACTTTTGGCCCCTAATTCCTTAACTGTCGGTACCAAAACCTCCAAAATCAATCCCAACCTTATTTTTGTGGTATTGAACCTTATGGTAAAATTTCATAGAGATCCATTCACTAAAACTAAAGTTAGAGTGCGAAAACCAATGTCTTCGGACGACGACGAGGATGACGCCAACGTCATACCAATATACGACTGCAAAAATTTTTTGCAGTTGTATAAAAAGGGAGGTAGATGCCTGGTGCTAAGAGTAATCAAAATTAAACACTTACACATCTGTTATTTCTTTACAATTGTTCAAATTTAATTCTTCAATGTTTCTACATTGTTGTGCAAATATTCTGAAACATAAAATTAAAGATATAATAACCATTGCTAATTTTTTCCCTGATTTTAAATATTAAAATTCAATTTAAGAAAATACAAGCACAGTGTGTGAAAATATATACATGTTTTATTTAAGATTTTGATGGTGTTAAACAGAAATATATACTGACCAAGGAGGAGTTAGCATCACCTGGGATTTTATGCATAAATACAGAATACTTCTGTTATCTTGTTTTGTTCTAACCATTTCAGCAGGGAAATGCAGAGTTTTCCATTTTTTTTTAAAAAACATCATAGAAAGATACTCTTAAGTGGACATGACATCATTGATTTATGAAGTCCTCTATTTAAAAGTTGATAACTTTCAAATTTTAACTACGCTCCTCTATCACGCAGTGTAACTAGCTGATTTCAATTAAGATAAAATCATGATAAATAACAGCTATCAAATTTACTGGCAGTTTAAGGATGCATTTGGTTCATATGATATGACTTCAATATTGGAATATCATGCAAAAATGAACACACAAGTAGTTTACTTTCTTGAGAATTTAAATGTAACTTTGGATAATCCTTTATATGTTAAAGAATATTTCCAAAAAAGTGTATGTTAAAAAAATATTTTAAAAATTACAAACACCTGTATTTATGACAGTAAATGGTATTAGACCAGTACAGATATGTTTGGTATATAGCAAATATTTTATAGGTTAAGAGACCTATATGCCATCAGATATATACATACACTGTATAATGATTCTATCAAGAAAATACAAGTAACTTGTAATTTAAAAGTCACTCAGAAACTGACTTTATCATGAAAACATAAAAGGAACCATTCAAATGAAATCCTTTTCAGACTGGCATCTTCTTGAAGTAAATGACACTAATCATTGAATTTTTACTTGTCTTGTCACACAACAGATGCAAATAGTTTACAAAATATACACCAGTACCTACCTCTAATTACAAAATACTATGTTTTCTGTGTAAAAGATATGAAAAATGAAATAATGTTAACCTCACTAGATTTCAGCAAACTTACTACAATAAAAGGAAGACAAAAAAATATCTTAAAATAAAACCTTACTTCAAAGCATTATCTGTTATACTCTGACAGCCACGTAAACTAAGAGATTTTAAAAATCCTCCACACCTCTTGGATATATTTTCTACAACAGGTCCCTGCAAAAGAATTCACAATACAAAAATGAAATTAAAGAAAATTAAGTTCACAAATCAATAAAATAAACAGGAAACTTTAATATAATTGCATAAAATGTTTAATTGGTGCTTAATCTTCAATCAGTACTTGGTATTTATTGGCATTCTGTGATAGAAGCTAAATGTAACCAATATTCATGAAAGTTACATAAATAGAAATGTTAAAGACTTGAATATGCTCAACTGAGAGCATTTAAAAGAAAATTCATACTTAAATTCAAACCTTAAGTTCCCCTTTTGACTCCTTTAACTTGAAATTCTCAAAATATAATAAATCTGTCAGATTACAGGCATTTAATAGCATATGACTGTCAGATTTAAGTCCTAATATATCTGAATTTTATATTGGACCATTAAACTTCTTGCATTTATGGAAAACTGCCAAAATTGTCGCCTTTTGGGATGTTCCAAATAATAAATAAATTCCCCAGCTTGCATATAACGTTATAATGGGATATAACTCAAGAACAGTAAAAGTGACGCTACCCAAATTTGTACTTGATCTGAGTTTTGTGGTAATAAGCATTGTGCATAAGTTTCATAACATTTGGTTCAGGCAAACTAGTTAGGGAACGAAACAAAAAATTCAGCAAATTTTCCATTTGTAAAGGGGCATAACTCTAGAACGGTAAAAGTGATGCCACCAAAATTCAAACTTGATCTGTGTTTTGTGGTAATAAGCATTGTGTATAAGTTTTATAACATTTGGTTGAGGCAAACTAAAGTTAGAGAACGGAAACGAAAAATTCTGCAATTTTTCCATTTGTAAAGGGGCATAACTCTAGAACAGTAAAAGTGACGCCACCAAAATTCAAAGTTGATCTGTGTTTTGTGGTAATAAGCATTGTGTATAAGTTTCATAACATTTGGTTGAGGCAAACTAAAGTTAGAGAATGGAAACCAATTTGGGACGTACGGACAGACGGACAAGGGTAAAACTTAATGCCCCCTCTGCTACGGCGGGGGCATAAAAAACACGAGCTACAGTCTTGACTAAAATATGTTTTTATAAGATATATTTTATCAAAGATGTTGATGCTGAATAAATCCTCATTTAGTGAGGCTGTTGCTCATGAATATTATTTTATCAAGAATTTCTATGTAAGTTGACAATATATGGTTGAGGAAGTGAATTATGTCAAGGAGACATAAATTAAGAAATGACATTTCTATAGGAAAATGACTAGACAATATCCTCAATAAAGTTAACATATTTTTGAAGGATAGAAGAATTTGAATCTTTTCTGTTTTTTATATGGTCAAAATATAATGGCCCTTATAAAATAATCACACTTCTTCCTTTGTTCTATTGGCTACCAGTATATATCAGATTCAATATGCAGACCATACTTATTAAACAAGTCAAGGATACTGAGCTAAACAAAAATGTTAGCAGCAAATATTTTTATAAAATATTTGCAAAAATAAAGTATAATTCTAAGCATAACAATATTAGATTATTGTAACACAGAAAATAAACCCTAAGGGGTAATTTTAACATGCCAAAAAAAATAAAAAAGTTTTGTAATTGAAATATATGTTGTAACTTGTTTTTACTCAGTATATATACCTTATGACACAGCCAGACACTTGATACTTCAAATTCTATGATAAACTTACAACTATATCACGCTGAAATTCAAATAAGTCAACTCTTTGCCAATTACTTCCATCTAATGCTAACAAATTCCAAAACTGCAAAAGTGAAATAAATAAGTCATTATTACATAAACCAGTAATGTAGAAAAAAAAGAGTGCACAAGCTGAAATGTCTCACCTGCTTTACTGACATGATTGATTTTATGTTGATAGTCTTAAAGATGAAAGTTTCACTACAAGTATCACATAAACTTAACATTATCAAAGGAATGATTCATGTAAATGAGGTCGCCCGTTCGAAATTATAAGGCGTACTACGCTTGGAAAGCTGGTGTTAACCAGGCGTAAGTGGTAGTTATGTGTGCAGATCCAGGCGTAATGGGGCAAGAAACGTAAATTTGTAGCACTTACAGGCGTAGAAAAAAGTGGTAAACCTGGTGTAAATTGAAATAAGCAAGGCGTAAATTTTCCTACGGGCTTAAAACTGTTGGAGGGCGTAAATCATAATACCCATAATGCTTTGTTTAAAGGATCATGGGAAACTTTTTCAAAATTTGGCTCTCTGATATTAGCTTGCAAGAATTGGACATATGGCAGCTTGATATATTCAGGGGAAATTTGCTTTTTTTGTGCTTTTGGAAGAATTTGAAATTGGAATTATCGAATCAAACTGATGAATGAAAAATGCAAAATGAAAGGAACAGTAGTATACATGGTAAATAATAATTATGTGAGTAACTAAGTTATTAAGTTTTTATTTTTCAACATAAAATTTAAAATTCAGGAAACCCTCATCCTTGGATAATAACATTTAAATCTTTCACAAGTTATTTTGTAGTATTATTACCGAATTTTTTTAGTTCAAATGACTTAATTTTCAAAACAACTTAGTCAAAATGTTAAGTTTTATTCCAAGAAAAATTGTCATAATTCTTATTTAAACTTAAACTTATTTGAGCCAGCTGTGTCTGTCTAATATGTATTTATTTATATAGCTTCTTCAATGGTTTATATTTCAAGTGTTATGTCAAGCAATCAGAAATTTAGGCAACAGTACAAGTTTGTATCAAATATGCAAAGTACACAGCTAGGGTAATACACTGATTTAAATAAAGTGTAGTAATATGTAAGGATATTACACCTGGTTTATTTATTGACCAGGCGTACTCATTTGCATATTATGCCGGGTTTTCTGTTGACCAGGCGTACTCCTTTAAATATTACGCTTAATTTTACGCCTGGTTTCCGCCTCAGTTACACTTGGTTTCCGTCTGGTTTACACCTAGTTGACGCCTGACATGCATTCCCTAAACACTGCAATGATGCCAGGATAAAGTACGACTTTTACGCCTGGTTTCCGTGTCATTTACAGGCGTCACATTTCGTACAGGCGAGTGAAGGTCAGATGATACATGCCAGACAGACATGAGCACCTTACCATTATTCCATGCACCAAATATAGTTGACCTATTGACAATAGTATCTAAGAAAGAGAGTTAACCAGGATAACTTAACATTGACCAATGAACCATGAAAATAGGGTCAAGGTCAGGTGAATTCTGCAAGACAGACATGTACACCTAACAATCATTCCATACACCACATATAGTTGTTGTCATACTATTAGTATCTGAGCTACAGACGAACATAAAAACTTAACCTTGATCACTGATCCATAAAATGAGGTCAAGGTCATATCAACCCTGTCTGACAGACATGTAGACTTAACAAGGATACCATACACCAAATAAAATCATCCTATTACTCATAATAAGTGAGTCATTGTATATCACATGACAAAAAAATTGTACATTTTTTTAAGCAGTTGCTTAACCATGAAAATGTGATCCAAGACATATGGCAGACCTTCGTAACTTAAGGCATCTGCATACAAGGTATGAAGCACCCAGGTTTTCAACCTTTTGAAATTTTAAGCTTATTACAAAAATGGAATGCCTCTTCAGCCTGATAGTAATCCCGATTTCATATTCTGCGATGAAAGTCACAGGCAAAACAAATATTACCAAGTCTTGTTATTATAAAACTTATTTTTTCTTGCTTTTTTATAAATCAAAGTCTTAGTTTCAGAATGTTATTCGATTTTCACTTAATACTTGCCTTTGATACTTTGGCACATCTGCATAATGAAACAACATCTAAAAATGAAAATATTCTGAAAAAAAAAAAAATTTATTTGTTTATATCGAAACAAAGCAATCTAATAAAACTACAAACCTGCAAACAGAAAATAAAACCTTTAACTGAATGAAATATTTTAACAATTTTTAAATGTTTACTATTTTAATATACATTCAATCAGGTTGTTGTTATTTTTGCTATCTTAAAAACTAAAATTTCCACCCTGGATAAAATTCATTCAACAAGGATATTTTAGCCTTTTATAACAACAATATCATTTTAAAACAAGGATATGTGGTATGATTACCAACGAGACAACTAACCAACAGATTCTAATAGAATCCGATCATTGCTTTTAACAAACCATTTGAGTTGGGGATATTCCCTCATATTGCATGATTGCAAAATAACCACAAATAACCACCAGGTAAAAATTTCCACGTATGAAGTAACTGTTTGCTTAATGTCTAGTGGCAAATATTTCAGGACAAGAACAAATAAACACTAAATCTAAGAGAAATGCTTTACCAATAAGTTGATTGTCCAGAATAAGCGCAAGAAAAGAAAATATGGATAGAGGCAGCAATATTGCTTTACAGCAGGCCATAAAATTCTTGCAAGGCCAACTGGGGAGGAGCAAAATAATCTCCATGATAATGAGATATGCCAACGCTTATACAACTGCATACCAATTAACATTGGCCTACCACTAATGATTCCCCTTGAACTGACTTATCACAAACTAATAGACCATGACTGAGGGGGCAGGGCCAAATAATCTCCATGGAAATGAGATGTGCCAATGCTAATACAACTGCATACCAAATATCATTGACCTACCACTAGTGGTTCACCATAAATTAGATCTAATCACAAACTAATACAATGTTGACCCTGCTGCTGCCGACACCAGAAACAGCATACATACAATGTATGTTTGGCTTTTTGACTCCGTCAAGGCGAGACAAAAACTGGAAAATCTGTAAGCTGAGCTCACATATCTATAACTCACTGTCACATTGTATAGATATGGTATGGGGAAACCCCAAAAATCATTTGGATGAAATAAAATATAAGGATGAGCAAAATGCCTTTAGACACTGAAGATTCTCTAAATGTTCCACATTGGATAGAGGTATAGGGAGAGGGTTGAGATCTCACAAAACATGTGTAACCCCACCACATTTTTGCACCTGTCCAAAGTCAGAAACCTCTAGCCTTTGTAAGACTTGTGTGTTTTTTAGTTTTGGTTCATTTGTATTTTTCAGAGTTAACAGAGGCCTCCATTTCACTGAACTAGTATACATTATTGTTTTGGGGCCAGCTGAAGCCCGTCTCCAGGAATAAGATTTTCTCGCTCCGTTGAAGGTGGCCTTCTGCTGTTTTCTGCTCTTTGGTTGGTTTGTTGTCTCTTTGAAACATTCCCATTTCCATTCTCTATTCTATTCCCTGAAATCCTGTTCTGGTTTAGTTGTGGATACAAGGTAATTAACACTTTTGTAATATGGCAAATACTTATTTGTAATCTGAACAAAAGTCAATGTAGAACCATGAAGTATGGACCACCTTACCTATTCCTGAAGGACAGAGTAGATGCATTTTTTTAAAAAGGAGCTTGGTTTTAACAGTCCTCAAGATAAGACTGTGGATGCAGATATGTACATGGATGCTGAGGTAACAAAGAATAAACAGATGTTCCTAAACTTTATTAAAATAAAAATAAGAAGATGTAGTATGATTGTCAATGAGACAACTCTCCACCAGAGCTCAAATGATGTAGAAGTTAACAACTATAGCTCACTGTACAACCTTTAACAATGAAGAAAACCCATACCACATAGCAAGATATATAAAAGACCACAAAAACGACCAATATAAAACAATTCAAACAAGAAAACTAACGGCCTGATTTATGAACAAAACAGTAAACGAAAAACAAATATGATATATAGCAACAAACGACAACCACTGAATTACAGGCACCTGACTTGGGACAAGTACATACAGAATGTGGCGAAATAAACATGTTCGTGGGCGCCCAATCCTCAACTTTGTTGAAGCAAACTAAATATATTAAAATAGAATCTGATACAGAAATGTCTAGAAGCAAAACAGCTAAAAACTACCAATTATCCTGCATCAACCGTGTACTTGTATATTGCCAAAGGACAAATAATGTATGAAACTTTGAACCAAAGAAGTTTTATCAGAAAATAAGGCATACTAAATGCAGTTTTTATATTGTAAATGATGACACAATGCTTTATATGTTATATAATATAGGCAATAATATGAATTAAATGTATATATCTTTTTTTACAATTTCTAGTAAAGAACCATTTCAGTAGTGTTGACCACGATATTTCCTGACAAGTTGCAAAATTGGGATACATTCACAGATATATGCAGTAAAGTAATGTTGCCTCGTTTCAAACAGCTGTTTTTTTACTATAAAAGGATGTACATGATATAATGACAATCAACTACATTAGGTATAATACTGTGTTTCACATTTCAATATCTCTGATCATGTGTCATGATAACATTTTTGTTCATAAATTTACATTGAACTTTTCACTTTTCATGGTTGTAAAAATCAATTACCTGTCACACTTATATGTCCCTCCAAGCCCAACGAACCCCAGGTTTAACCTTTACTAGTTTACATGCACATTATACATGATGATCAACTTAATTGGCTAATTAATAGAACATTTCTGCTGGTAATTCAGTAATCATTAAATCTTTAAAGGAATCAATAAAAGGCTAAATAAATCGCAGGTAAATTGAACTATAATTAACCTGTCAATGTCTGGGTCTGCTTGTTTACAAAATCAAATAATGGTGTTACACACTTACGTAGAAGGATCTTTTTTTTACAAATTATGGACTTACTTTTGAACCTCCCTGATGAGGGTTCATCCTCCAAAATAAGTCCATTATATTACAACTGCAATTCAAGCTATCAAAATGGATCCTTATACTCAAAGCCATTTCATTGTATTATGTATGAGTTTGTTAAAAAAGTTGGTTTTTTTTTACTGGAGTTTTTATCATGTCATATTTTTCTCAGTATTTCTTGAAATGATCTCTTAATACTGTATACAAATAACAAACCCACTGTCACTATCAAGGTAACATTTAAAACCATGCCATAAACTGAGTCTTTTGTTAAAGGAAAATGACACATTAAACACTGACTAAACAGTGATGCCCATATATGGAATCCTATTTCTAAAACTTCTATACAATGTTGTTGTCAATAGAGCTTGTGGGTAACATCAAAGATGGTAATAACTACAGCTAAAAATATCCATTTAATGATAAATCTTATAGTCTTAATCTATTACATGTCATTTAAATCACAAATCTAATACAATGTATGCTGTGCAACAGCTATTTATTAGATTCACCCCCACAATTGGAAATTATTCTTTCAGGATACTTCATGGGACATAAATACAATAAACCTGGAAATTGGATTATTATGAAAATGCTTTTAGGGATATTAATTGTATTATTATATGACTATGAAATTCCTGTGTTCTCATTGGCTAAAAACATTGAGAATCTTCTTTTGTAAAACGTTATATTCACTGCTTGAAAACATGAGAGGTTAATATAAGATTAAGAACAACTAACATGTACCTAAATATAGATATCCCAAGGCAACATCAATGACGTAGGTATATGACTTCATGCAAGTTCTAGTTTTTTTTTATCATTTATCATATCTTTGTTTAGGTTAGGAGGGGGGGATCAGAGTGAAACAACCATGATAAATGTCAAATGTTGTCATGAAACCGTTTTTTGATTTTGGTGTACTCTTCAAACTGATATAAAATTTGAATAACAGCTGCATGGTTTTTTTTTAAATAGGCATTTAATTATTTAGTGCATTTGGGGACTAGTATGAAAAACTGAATACTATGACCCCTTCAATAAAAGTCATCATTCAAAAGTATATGAACAGAATGATTTTTAAGGCAAAATATTAGTGTTGGCATATCAATTTAAATATGTTAAACAATAATAACTTAATTTAAAAATGAAAAGTATAAGATGTTGACAGAGTAGCATGTATTGATTAATAAGCATTGATGACAAAAGATGTCAAGTGAATGACTTCAAATGAACTTTCAATAAGTGATCTGTTCAGCCGTAAGCCTGTCCCTGTTGAGCCACAAGTGAACTAGATGTACAATGAACCCATAATTATCTGACATAACAATAAACAGCTTAGAAATAAGCTTATAAAGGCATGTTTTACCTCAATATTGATTAAACATAAGTCATCAATAAAACCATGCCAAGAAATCATATAGCTTGGAATAACTTTGCTAAAGAATTACAAATGTTTCTAATACAGAGAGGACAATACGACATAAAAATAGAAAACCGTTATGTAATATAACAGCTCTTACCACCTGCAACAAATTATAAAGAGAGACATGGTGTATAATATGAATTGTAATTACAATCTGAACAACTTTTGGGCTTATAATTAGTCATTTTTAACTAATACATACTAATGTATTATGCTCAGTATCTTTATTTTTTTAATTTTTAACAATTTAATTTTGATTAATAACCAATAGGCATAAATGAATAATTCACAATTAAGAAATAAAATGCTCCACTGGGGCGCAGCTTAATACGACCGCAGAGGTCGAACCCTGAACAGTTGGGGCAAGTATGGACACAACATTCAAGCTTGATACAGCACTGAATTTGGATTGTAATTAAATATTTGACACAGCATAGGTTTCTGACACAGAATGAAAGTGGTCTAAGAACTTAAAAAATTTTAATTTACCTCTTCAAACCATATCATTATTATTTGCTTTTATATATAAATCAGAAATAACCAATTTAAAATGGAAAATTTTAAAGAAAAAAAATTAAAAAAAATCCCCCCCAAATTTTTTGAACCCCCTTATGATTCATCACCCCCAAACTCAATCCCAGCCTTCCCTTTGTGGTATGGTACCTTGCAGTACAATTTCAGAGAGATCCATACACTTGTACACAAGT